CCCCAGGACCGCCGGGCCCATGACAACCATTGCGGTTGTCATGCCCTGATGGCGGCCCTGCCTCCAGTTACCGTCACTCAAACGGCCACCAGAGGTACTTCCTATCATGTATGGCCCTAAAAAGGCCATGTACACGTCAGGCGTGTGCAGGAGAGAGAAGGCACTGTGTGCGCTCCCTCTCTCCTGCCTGTCAGCAGAGGAGAGGGGTAGGGCAAAGACCGCGAGCTGAGCTGTCGAAGCCGCGCATGCGCACCAGGGAGCAATGACGCTTCTAAATGGAAGCGTCTGATTGCTCCCTGTTCGCGCCTGCCTATTTCGTCGTTTTGACGAAATAGGGGGCGCGGCTTCATGAGGCTCCCGGCGCTGGAACCAAATGAGTAAAAACGGCTTCCTGGAGAGTCCCTTTAAGGAGAGAGGACAACTGCCAAGGTTAGAAGCCCTAACTCACAAACAGTGAGGCAAGCTTAACCTTATACAATGCAGATGTATTACAGGGCCTTAGAGTGGCCAGACTTAACGTAATAATATAAGATATAGAGAATAGTCGGATAAAAGCCAAGGTCAGTATGAAGACAAATGGATAAACAAGTATAACAGAGGCAAATGTCAGGGATACCAGTATACAGAATAAGCGGTGAAACAAATCCAAGTCAGTTTTCAGTATACCAGGGAACTGTCAGGGTCTTACCTAGGTTGGGAGTCTGTAGTGCAGATATGTTGCTCACCCTTGCAGATAGCCACAGGCCAAGGTGGTCAGGTAAGAATTCACCCGGCCTGTGGGTCTGTGCACGGGGCTGTGCAGGATGAAGTACCAAGTTGCAGGACAGGCAAGGACTCAAACAGCAGGATCGTCAAGGGAATGCTGAGGTCAAAGGAAGCCAGAGGACAGGAACAACGAGGAGTAGCCGGAGTCAAGGGATGCCAGAGGACAGGAACAACGAGGAGTAGCCGAAGTCAAGGGATGCCAGAGGTCAGAGTAAACGTAGTCAGAAGCCGGGGTCAATAATAAGTAGAAGATCAAACAACAGGAACACTGGTACGAAACACACAACAGGATCAAAGACTTGATCCTGATCACAGGGCGAGGCTGAGTTTAAATACCCTGCTAATGTCTGATCAGGGTCAGGTGAAGCACAGCCAAAGTCAAGGTACAGCCCCCAGAGTAATAGACATGCCAGGATGAACAGGACCAGAATGACTTGTAGAATACAAAAGCTGCTGTGGGTCAGAGGTAGGAAGCAGGACCAGGAGTGTAAAGTGCCCAGGTTCACACTCCTTAATCGGGCACTCCTGGGGTGACCTCGTCTGGCCGCCTGGATGTCGCGGTGAGAACCGTGACAGGAACAATAGGAACACACTCTCAAGCTAGCAACAACCACAGCAGGGTAATGAGGAGAGTTTACCTAATATATAGGCCCATGTGGCTTCTGGTTGGTTTGTGTTTTATTGTGCACCCAAAATGAATGTGTACTATGGGCAAAGAGTTCTGGCATGGCTCCCATGCAAGACGTGGGTCGTGACTAGTATAAAGGGAGGAGGAGGCGGAGCAAGATAAAATAATATATACTATAAATACTTCCAATAAAATATTTAGTTTTTATTTACCAGCTCAAATAGAGAACACCATTTTTGCTTCCTTGTAATTACTATTTTTTTATTTTTTTTGACATTCTTTATTTTACGTTATTAAATCACAGCATGTATATCCGTTACAATTTAACAAGTTATAACAAATAAGCGGGTCAGTTATGTGTATAACAGCATTGAGATGGTTTCAGCAACCTACTGATAGGCTGTGTTCGTATTTTTAGCTTCGATAAAACCAGGGCCAGATTAAGAGCCCAGTGGACCTGGTGCTGACAATTATGACGGGCCTAATTACAGAATCATATCGACCAAAAACAGTAAAACACTCCCAAGCGTCATGTATCTGATGGAGATGGTGCTGGAGAGAAAGAAACCAGCAGCTATAAGAAAACACATATCCTAGGCTAATCTCTCACTAATTTATGTTTTCATCTTTCAAGTAAATCCATAACCCCTAACAGCAGTGTCCAGTCAAGCAGGAAGTGAATGGGCACGGTAAAAGGGTGTGCCACTGACACAAATCACGTAACCTGCCAAAAGGGGCGAACATGCCCAAAAAGAGGATATGTCTGCCCAAAGAATTAGAAGGCCAGCCTGGTATGAATGCATGTCAGGCTGCCTGCCAATCATGCAGCTGGCCAACTAAGGGCATACTATGCAGACAGCACCCTGAGCTTGGCATAAATGTGCCTAATGATGCGCTCACTCAATGCTTTCTAAGGACTGTTCCCTAGCACTCGCTGGTCCACTTGTCTCCTTACCTTCTTACTATAAGGCAGAAGCTCCTGGTATATAGTCTGGGACAGAGAAAAGCTGTATGTAGTGAGTGTAGAAGAAAGGGAACATGCCACAGTGTTAGAGAGACCAAAGTCAGCATTACCTTAAAGGATCACTATAGGGTCAGGAACACAAACATGAATTCATTACCCTATAGTGTTAACACCACCATCTAGCCCCCCTGGGCCCCTCATGCCTCCATAAATATAGCAAAATCTAACTGTATTCAAGCCTGAAGCTGTAACTCTGCATGTTGTTAGACTCAGAAAAACAAGCAGTCTGCTGACATCATTAGAAGTGGTGGCTTGATCCAGTCACAGTGCTTAGCCATAGGATTGGCTGAGACTGACAAAGAGGCAGATCAGGGGCAGAGCCAGCATGATTCAAACACAGCCCTGGCCAATCAGCATCTCCTCATAGAGATGAATTTAATCAATGAATCTCTATGAGGAAAGTTCAGTGTCTCCATGCAGAGGGAGGAGACGCTGAATGTTTGGATGCATTTTAGGCAGCTATGACCCAGGAAGGATCTCTAAGAGCCATCTAAGGAGTGGCCAGTGAAGTTATCACTAGGCTGTAATGTAAAGACAGCATTTTCTCTGAAAAGACAGTGTTTACAGCAAAAAGCCTGAAGGGAATGATTCTACTCACCAGAACAAATTCAATAAGCTGTAGTTGTTCTGGTTACTCTAGTGTCCCTTTAACTATATTCATTGTCAGCCAGTCCACACACGTTTTTGTTCCCATACATCCCTCTTAAATTTCCATACTTAAGTAAGGGTATGTGAAAAGTAGTTAGGGTTGCCACCTTTCATGGAAAAACATACCGCCCTTGCTAATTTGCATAATTAAATATGTATGGGTGACATCACATGATGTAAATCACAAGGAGTGACATATGACAAATGCTGTAAAATCACCAAAAAACTACTTAGTTTGATTATGCTGTAGATGGATTCCTCCCAGTGGCCCCATGTCTCCCAGTGCCCCCATGTGTCGATTACTCCAGGTCTCAGTGTTCCTATGTATCAGTGTCTCAGTACCCCATGTCTCCCAGTGTCCCCTAGTGTCGTGTCCCCACGTCTCCCAATGATCCTATGTATCACAGCCCCATGTCTCCCTGTGTCCCCATCTATCCCAGGGTCCCCATGTCACTAGGAAGACAGGAAGACCTGGGGACACAGGGAGACCTAGGGACACAGAGACACCAGTGACACTGGGAGACTAGGGGACTCTGGCTGGGATGCATGGAGACACTGGGAAAATAGGGGACACTTAAAGACATGGGGACACAGACACCGGGGACACAGACACTAGAGACACTGGCTGGGGGACATGGGGACATTGAGACATGGGGGCACTGGGAGGCATGGGGACAAGGAGACACCAGGACCACAGACACTAGGGACACTAGCTTGGAGACATGGGGACACTGAGACACTTGAGGCACTGGGAGACATGGAGGCACTAGGAGACATGGGGACAGTGAGACACTGGCAGACTGGGGGCACTGGGAGACTAGGGGGCACTGAGACACCAGGGACACTGGCTGGGGGACATGGGGACACTGGGAGACTGTGTCTGTGTCATAATGTCTCCCAATGTCCCTTAGTGTCTCAGTGTCTGCCATAATGTCTCCCAGTGTATGTCTCCTTGCAGCCTTCCCCCCATCCCTTACTTCCCTGAGCTGTAGGCTGTCTCTGCAGGGTGGGAGTTGCTGTCTGGACTCTCTGTAGCTGCACCCCTCAGTGAGTATAGATAGGCAGGGAGAGATATGCTGGAATGTCCTTTCCCTGCCTGTCTCCACACACAGCGACCCCTACTGGCCAGTGCTGGTATTGCATAGTAATCTCTTGTTTATACTGAGAAAAATACCAGCATTTGTATTGCCAGTATCACTGCAATATTGGCACCAGCCAGGCAGCCTCAAATACTGGTTGTGCCAATAAAATAAAAGCCAGGTGGAATCCCTAAGAGTAGTGTGTGAAAAAAAATGTAAAAAAAAAAAAAAATGTTTTTTTTTTTTAAATAAATCAATGGGCCTATTCCATGGGCCTGGGCCTGGAGCTGCAGCTCCATCAGCCCCTATGTTAATCCGGCCCTGGATAAAACAATAAGCAAACTTGTGTGTTGTGTTATGTCGTTAGCCCTGTAATGGGTTAGTCCACTGTGTGTTTGAGAGTGTATGGGGTTTGCGGTTAATCCTCAAGGTTCATGCGTGCTATCAAATAGCCTGTTTCAACCGCTCTGGGTTGTCCTTGTGGGGCAGGGGGGATTTGTATATCCCAGTGGTAATCTCTGATCTACCTCATTTGTAGGTATAACCGTAATGGGGAGTCTGGCTCAGTGCGAAGTTTCCTTTCACTTACATATTGGGTCTAGTGTTTCCCACGGCACCTTGGAGTTGTGGGAGTCTCTATCGGCGTGCGTTGCGGTTCTTCTTTGCCCCAAGCATTGCACGGAATGGTTTGTTTGTGTTACTAGTGCCAGGCTGGTGGATATAGTACTATGTCTCAGTCCGTGTTGTGTCTGCCTG